GCCGCCAGCCAATGAGCGCGCGCACCGCGCGGTAGGCCGAGATGGCGCTATGCCGCGCTTGGCCAATCGCAGGCGGCGCGGCCTGGGCGGTGACGCCCGGAGAGGCGCTGGGACGAGGTTGCGTGGTGTGGGGTGGGGGCGTGGGGAAGGAGGGGTGTGGGGATGGGGGCCCGACGGCCAGGTGAGCGGGTGGGAAAGGGTGGCTGGCTCCCGACCGAGAGGGGCTGAAAAAGATCGTGCCCTAAGTGTCGCGGTCCCAGCCGCTGGGAACCTACCCGCGCCGAGGTGGAACCAGTTCGGAGGAAACCCCTGCGGGGATATCCTCCTGCTAATGCCGGAATGTTTCCATTCATTCCGCTAGCGTTTACTGAACGCTTACTAACTGCCCGGCCCTGGAGTCAGAGATGAATCAGACAGCCATCTGTCCTGTGCCTACTGTATGTAGGGGGCGCTAGAAAGAGCTACAGGTGCATAGAGAATGTGACTTTCAAGCTGAATGGGTAGGAAGACGTTTACCAGAAGGAAGAGGAGGGCTGTGCCAAGCGTTCCCATCCTTCACCCCACCAAACTGCAGTTGTTACTGTGCCCAGGCTAAAGATAACACGGATGGGCGTAGCCCCTATTCTCACAAGATAAGAAATAGGGAGGGTACGGTACGGTGCAAAGAAGAAAAATAGAGATGTGTCATAAGTGCCCTGAGAGAGTGGGTGGGCCAGGAACCATGGAAACAGGAGGCAATCCTTCACTGGCTCTGGGGTGAATTAGGCAAGACCTCCAGGCAAGTTACATGAATTCTGTCCAAGACAAGCATTCCAAGGGTAACAATAAAAGTGTCCAAGACTCAAGGTGAGAGCCAGTATTTGTTATGAGAATATAAAACTTACTTGTATTTACTGAGGCTTAAGGCCAAGGTCTTTGATCACTTTATTGCTTAATCCTGGATTGCCTATTTTAAACCCTAGGACTATGTACAAATCCTTTCTGCCATTTGGAGCACGGCTGAAGTGTCACCTCTTCCACCAAGTGTCCACTGGTCCTCACCAAGTGACATAATTTCATACTTTATTGTCCTAATCTCTGAAGTGGTTACTACCCTACTAGTTCCTATGTTCCTTGAGAGAAGTATTGGTCGGTGTCTGAAAAATCAGGATCACCCACGGCATGTAGCACAATATTTTGCATTTAATTTAGCCTACATAAAAATGTATTTAGTGAAGGAAGGAAGGATGAATGAATGACAATGGTGCAGTAGGAAAACCAGGTGACTCGAATCAGGAGACCTAGATTCTGGCTGCCACTAACCAGCTTTGTGACCTTGGGTAAGTCAAAAGTCAGTCAACTTCTGGAGGGAGAGGGCAATGCCTTCATGAAATCTTAAGTTCCTTGCAATTCAGTACCAGACAGTTCACTGAGTTTAGGTAAGCATGGCACTTGTCATCATTTTCCACCCGAAATATTATGTTTTATCTGCTAGTGAAATAATTACGTATCAAAACACTTTCACAGGCATCATTTGACCCAAAACCATCTTAATTTTAAAAATAACAAATATGTAACTTAAGGAGTCTTGGCCAAATCACAGCTTAGAAGTGATAAAACCAAAAGTTAAAATCCTGATCTCCAAATCTTGTGTTTCCTCAATATCCTTCATTATCAATAACTCCTTTAACTTTTCTCCATTATAAAACCAAAACTTTTGAGTCTTTCCCTGACAACATTCCTCACTGGTCTCCACAAATTCAGCTGTTTGAAATATATACCAAATTAAAAAGAACTCAAGCAAATCAATTTGATGTGTGGGAAATCATTTTCCTGATGATGATTCTTCAATCAGCTACTTGTTGGTACCTATGAGTTCCTAAATTGCCCAAATGACAGAAGGCTTGGGCAGCTGACTCCTATAGAAGAGTATACGATACCACCTGGATGATATGTTACTTGATTATCCTGTACTAGAGATTACCACAAGAGGATTTTTTTCTTTTTCAGTAGAGTAACTTTAATCTTTTGAAAGCCATGTTCTTCATGTGTGTACAGTCCAAGATCCACTTCCCAATTTGGGGCAAAAAGAGCATCTGTGATACCCAGCACAGGGCACATTCGGAACGCCTGTACTTTCTGAATTAAATGCTATCTAACCATCACTGGAGTGTTTGAATCTTGGCCTGGCTGCACTTCTGCATAGACAAAAATCTGTCACTCAAGCCTGAAGTGAAGATAGTGAAATATGACACAAAATCACCCACTTGCTGGCAGAAAGTAATAATACTTTCATAATTATGACAAGAGCTGACACTTTTATGGTATGGGCAGCATTCAAAATGTTTTTTCATTTATTAGCTAATTTTGTCCTTACAACCACATTATCAGGCAGGTACTATTTTTAGCCCCATTTTACAGACAAGGAAACTGAGGTACAGGGAAGTGGTCACACAGCTGGTAAGTCAGTAGGAAATCTCTCTCAGGAATCTAGGAATGTTTGACTAGATTGCATTTTTTTTTCTCCTTTAAGGGAAAGGTCTGGTTTACTTTTAAAACAAACAAAAAAGCATGTCTGGTCTTTTCATCCCATTGCTTAATCGCTTCTGTAGTCTGCTGGCTTCATTTGGCCTGACAGGCTTAAACTTGTGCCTTTTCACTTGCCATTGCTCAAAGCCTTTCCCTCCTTTCTTCAATTATTACATTCTTTAAGACACAGATTAATCATCTTATTTTTCTCTTCAAGTTTTCGTAACTCCACCTCTTTGTCATAACAGTCACCAATTTGTATTATAATTATCAATTTCCATACACCTTTTCCAACAGATTCAACTTCTAAGGCAGGACCCATGTCTTACTCACAGTTGTATACTCAGCACTTGGTATATAGTAAGCATTTTTCAATGTATTGAATACAACCTTTCCTTTCTTCATTTTATCCTTTTTTGGAGGGGTGGGTACCAAACTGAGTAATTCCCTTTCCACTAATGTTTTGATTTGCAACACATTAGAAACACATTAGATCAAAACTTTCTTGCTCACCATTCACACCATCCAAAAAGACTTAATGCCACTCATTTATTTGTTCTACATCCCCTTAGTACTAAACTGAATCTTTTGCAAATTCTGGTTGCAAGAGATGGAGCCAATTCTATTAATTTGGAATTTTGTTTTCTTTTTCTTTTTCTCCTTGAATATTGCTCACAAAGCCATAACTAGAGTGTATGCCAATCCAATTCAATGTAATATAAATATGTATCAATGGGCAACTTTGTGTCAGGCACTGTGCTTGGTGTGGGGAGTGAAGTAGTGAACAGAACAGACAGAACCAGCCATTTCAGAGTTTAGAATTTAATGGATAAGAGAGCAGCAAACAGGTAATTAAAGATGGCATTTGTGTCCCCAAAAAGGAAAGTATGTATTGCTCTGGAGGGTAAGAAGATACAAATTAGGCTAGGGGTCAAGGAAAGTCAAACAGAGGGAGTTAGTTACTTTTAAGCTGAGGTTTGAGGAGTTAGTGGGAGTAACCAGATATAACTTCTAACCGTCAATGGCAGTGGCCACACCTTAGATTTCTTTTCTCCTTTTCCCACACCTGGGTTTGTTTGTTTGTTTTTGTTTTTGTTTTCCTCTCTCTCTTAGTAAAACACTAATGACTGCAGCTGTCAATAGAAGTGTTTCACTGAATTGTTTTTTTTCAATTGGGATATTCACTTTATTTTTTTTTTTTTTTTTATTGAAGTGTAGTCAATTTACAAAGTGTCAATTTCTGGTGCACAGCAGAATACTTCAGTCATACATATACATACAAATATTCCTTTTCCTATTCTTTTTTATTATAGGTTACTACAAGATATTGAATACAATTCCCCATGGTATATTGTTTCACTTTATTGTTGATGGCAGGAGGATGGGAAAGATAAGGATTCTATTTTTCTGGACAACCTAACTTGGTATCCTTCATCTACACTCAAGGAGTTGACAGTCTAGTAGAAACACATATCCTGGAAGGACACACTCTTGGACATGAGCATAAAACATATAAGCACAACACCCACTCAGTAACTACTGAGCACCACTCTGTGCAGAGAAGGCACTGCATCAAACTGCACCAAGCTTGCATTTTCAGAGCAAACCTAACCCACTTCAATCTGTAATTATCTCGAGCTCCTCAGATTATCAAACTATTAAGTCAGAAGATGGAGGGTTCAGCATAATAAAAGTTGGCAAGAATAAAGGAGTCGTCTGAAAAGCTGCACATTTTCCTACCATTATTAGTTTATCCTCACATCTGTCCCTCCCACTGTCATTTGACCTCTGCTAAACACGTTATCAGGCATGAGGTACATTTTTGTTGAATGAATGATTATGTTGCTTGAAAAGAATTACATAAACTCAAATATAGAATTAAAGGCAATGAGTTTTGTCATTTCCATGATTTCAGAAACAGACTGGCAACGGTGAATATGTTGGACTAATGTATAAGGGGGCAACAGTCACAGACCATACTCCCCTACTTCTCGCCATCAGTAAGGGAATTTCTACAGCACTAAGGAGAAGGCCCATTTAGGAGATCAAATTTGGATGACTTGGAGTGTTGGAAGCAAACCCTTACTTCAGGCTCCATAATAGATACTTATGTCTGCATACCTTCTGACTGGCTATCAAGCAGCTAAGGCGTGAGTTCCCTCCCACATTTGTGAATACATGCATTAACATGAATTTCTCCATTCCACTGTGGGGAAATAAAACATAAGCCTCTAAATATAGGACAGAAATAGACTCACAGACAGAGAATACAGACTTGTGGTTACCGGGGGGTGGAGTGTGGGAAGGGATAGACTGCGATTTCAAAATTGTAGAATAGATAAACAAGATTACACTGTACAGCACAGGGAAATATACACAAAATGTTATGATAACTCACAGAGAAAAAAATGTGACAATGAGTGTGTATATGTCCATGAATGACTGAAAAATTGTGCTGAACACTGGAATTTGACACGACATTGTAAAATGATTATAAATCAATAAAAAATGTTAAATAAATAAATAAATAAATAAATAAACAAAACATAAGCCCCTACTTTGAGTAGGAAAAAAAAATGAATACAGGAAAAAGTCTTTTCTTAATTAAAAAGAAGCCTATCAAGCCAATCAGCTGTAAATAAGAACATTTGACTTATTCAGGTGCTGAATCTTTTGTGCTGCCAAGAAAAACAGAACATTTACTTCTTCTGGAGCTAAACAAAGAAACTATTTGCTGATTAACCAAAGTGAGGCAAAGGCTTCAAATAGGATTAAATTTGACTATGTTAAATTCTCCACTGTTAAGTGACAAATCTCTCTTGTTTTCCTAATTTTCAATCCAAGGAGACTGATTCTTGCCAATTTTTTAGTAATGGAGTCCATCCTAACCCACCTAGTCTGAACATCTGTGCTCCTGTAGACATCAAGGTCTGCGGGACAGGTTTCATGTCACTGTGGGCAGTCATGAAACACAGCATAGGGCTGGTGACAGGACATCAACTGTGCCAGTTGTTAATCTCTTCAGATGCAAATTAACTACAACTGAACTTCTATTTTGTTCTTTCCTGACTTAAACTAAATCCCTTATTTCATGAACAACAACAAAAAATTCAGAAGGCTGAACCAAATAAAAGTGTTTTCAATAGTCTACAAACTTGAAACACAATATAGTCTTGTGTTTTTATAATACCTTATTCCTCAGGGTCCCTGAGGCTGGTCATAAAGAATCCACAAGGTGGAAAGTTTGGGGCTGTATTGCTACTGAAAATGTGTGGAGGACACTAAATAATGGAGATGGCTGAACATAAAACATGCCATCACTAGACTAGCCAATCTTTAGACTCTGCCTTCAAAACTCTATCCCATTTCCACTCTATACTGAAATTCCTCTTGGAGAAGAGAAACGCCAAAGCACGTTTCCTATACTCTTACAGGAAATACACCTGTCAAGAATGATGATCTTGAAAGAACTTTTTGTGATATTTAATACCAGACGTGTGTGCCTACTGAGCACTCAGCAAGCGGTTCGTGTGACCAAGGAACTCAATTTTAAACTTCACCTCCTCTTAGTTAATATAAATTTAAACTTAAAATACCCACATGTGGCTAGTGGCTATTATACTTGACAGTGCAGTTCTGGATACTACAAAACTTAATTTTCAACAAACAAAAAAGCATTTGGAAAAAATTAGTCTTTTCTTCCTTAAGACCTAACCAAATAGCCAGGGAATGACACTATCTGTTCAAAAAGAATCTTTCTCCGGGTAAGTCCCGGAGGCCAGTAAGCATCTATTGCCACTCCATCAGGCAAGGAAGTAAGGAAACTTAATGGCAATCCAGCTTCAGTCCCCCAGGACTTCTCTTCATGTGTTCCTTTGAAGTCTTTCCTAGCTTACCTTAAATTAAAAATCATTCCTCTTCTTCTCCAGCACTGGCAGTATCTCTCACTGGGCAGATCCAATGACCTCGTGATCGGGGTCTTCCCATCCTCTAAGCTGGGGGGTTGATTTTTCCCCAAATGTTCTGGCAAACAAACCAAAGAAACTTTGTAATACCATCATCAGTGAACACCTTAATTATAATGGTCCAGTAAGAAAAGATAAGAAAAGAAAAGAAAAAAACAAAACAGACTTTGGGACTCAGGAAGGAGATGAACTGGGGACTGAAAATGAAGAGATGAGGGCCATCTCCCCAGAACAGTTTTTCCAAGTCCATTCATGAGGAAAATTGTCAACTTCAGGAGACTCAGAAGATTTTTCTATGTGAATTTTCTGATGCTGACTGAGGTAGGCACTTCTGCTGAAGCATTTCTCACAGTCGGCACATTTGTAAGGTTTTTCTCCTATATGGGTCCGCCGGTGCCTGATGAGGTTAAAGCTCTGGCTGAAGCACTCCCCACAATCAGGACACTTATACGGTTTCTCTCCTGTGTGCGTCCTTTGGTGAATCACCAGGGTGGAACTCTGACTGAAAGTTTTCCAACACTCAGAACATCTGTAAGGTTTTTCTCCTGTGTGTGTTCTCTGATGTCTAATGAGATGGGAGCTGAGGCCAAAACTCTTTCCACATTCGCAACATTTATATGGCTTCTCTCCTGGCTGGGGTCTGCATTCTTCTATCACATTGCAGTTTGGACTCAAACTTTCTTCATATTCAGAACTTTCATAGGATTTCTCTCCTGTGTGTGTTTTCCGGTGTGCAATGAGGTTGGAACTTCGACTGAAATTCTTCCCGCACTCTGTGCACTGATAGGGTTTTTCTCCTGTATGTATTCTCTGATGCTTCATTAGAGTAGAATTACAACCAAAGCTTCTTCCACACTCAGGGCATTTGTAGGGCTTCTCGCCTGTGTGTGTCCGCTGATGGCGGATCAGACTAGAACTCTGACTAAAACTCTTCCCACAATCGGGACACTTGTAAGGTTTTTCTCCAGTGTGGGTCCTCTGATGTTCTACTAGGACATAACTGTGGCGGAAGCATTTCCCACAAACTGGACATTCATACGGTTTTTCACCTGTATGTGACCTGTGATGCTGAATAAGGTGAGAGCTGCTGCTGAAACTCTTCCCACACTCAGGACATTTATAGGGTTTCTCTCCCGTGTGAGTTCTTTCGTGGATAATAAGATGGGAGGTGTTGCTGAAGCTTTTCCCACATCCGCCGCACTGGTAGGGCTTCTCCCCTGTGTGTGTTCTCAGATGCTGAATCAGGTGAGAGCTGCTACTGAAGCACTTCCCACACTCAGAACATTTATAAGGCTTTTCTCCTGAGTGGGTCCTCTGATGAGTACGCAAATGAGAACTATTACTGAAGCTTTTCCAACACTCAGAACATTTGTAGGGTTTGTCCCGGAAGGATGCATTCTGCTGGACAGAGGCCCTGGTGTGTTCTCCTGAGTCCCATCCCCGGTGATTAGGTTCTTCCTCCTCTTTTCCTGTAGAATTTTCCTGATTCTCTGAGTTGCCAAGATGATTCTCACAGGAATCATCACACTCAATCTCACCTTCTTGGGACCATGTCAATGGCATTTCTTTTGTGTCTTTATGCTTACAATATTGTGGGCAGTCACTTTTAGACCACTTTGAGGCTCTCTCTTTAAGTTTATCTGCCTTAGAGTTATTATGTTGAACAGTTTCCAAATTATTCTTACTTTCACCTCCTGCAAGAATAAACAAACACTCTAAACACATTCCCCAGTCTCTGCCAGGGGAAAGAAATTCTGAATTTCAGTTGAAGAGAAAATAACAAACTCAAATCTCATAAGCTATTTTATATTTTTAAAGTTTTAAAAGCTAGTTTTACTTCTTTTTCTCTCTGTGTTCATCAGAAGCAGGTGAATTTTTCTGTACTTATAACAACACTAATGAAGTATCTGAGTAATTGTCAGCAATTGCCAAGGGAGGTATCAGTCTAAAAATAAGTTCATCAAATTTTATTCTAGTTTTTTTTTAAGTAGGGAAGAAAGTGAATAGAGGTGAAAACTAGACAAAACCTTAGATAAAACCTGAGCAAACACAGAAATAACAATGATACCCACTACTTGAGAACAGTAGCTTTGCATATAGTGTATTAATAATCCTAAAAACATGTGAGACAGATATTATCATTCACATTTCTTAAAGATAAGACAACTGAAGCTGTAAGTTAACATAGCTTGTAAATGACACAGCAGGGAATCAAGTTAAAGTTTGTCTCATTCTAATTCCTTGTTCTTTCCACACATTCTATAGCACATCTTGTGATGAATTTTCAAAGGATTTGGATCTTCTTGATCCCTCACCTGTAAAAATGCTTTTCATACTCTCCCTCTCCGTGAAGCCATCAGAATCTGAGACCAACAATTTTTGCTCTTGCTCCATCACAATGGTCACAGCCAGGTTAGGGATCAGAAATCCTGCAGAAGGAAAACAGGTTATGTTTGGAGGCATTTGTTAAAATTTGGTTTTCTTCCTTCCTTCCCAACCATTGCAACATAACAATTCTAAGCACATAATATTCTGGGGAGCATACTGAAATAAGAAACACAGACTTTAAAAGTCCTGTTAGAAAAAAAAAAAATCTTATCTCAGACACAAGTGTTTAGAATTAAGGGTTAAGCCAATTTACCTTTCCTAAGGAAATGATTAAAAAACTAAATGCTCACATTAAAGTCTGAAGATCAAGCTTCAGAAATAGAATGAATACTAATACTCACTGTCCACCTGGAACTTAGAAACACTTTTAATTGAAAAAAAGGCACCAATACTAAGACTTTAAGGAATCAATATGCAAGTATAAGAAGCAGCTAAAAAGAACTCCGTTTAGTGTAGAAAGAATAACTGGGTCCTTGACAGAAGGATGAAACCTCTGAAGTCAATTTCAAAAGAAAGTCAGGATTTATATAACTCTTAACAAGAAACTAGGACAAAGCAGGGCTAGAGTAATTATGGCCAATTATCTCTAAATATAAAAAGGAGGCTAACAAGGGAACTCCTTCCTAAACTTTTATTCTCTACCATAATCCCAATATCCCTTTCAGTCTGAACTTTATTTTCTGGACCCAACTACAATCCCTGACCTACTTTATGGGACTGGAAATGTTATCTTTCACTGAAAGGTGGTTATATATGGACTTGGCATCCATTTGGGGATATAAAGAATAGCATAGTTCAGGAAAAAATGAGAGCTTAAAAGAAGGATATACAAAGGCACACACAGAAAACAAAAGATGGCGTACTTATAATTTTCATCCTGTTACTGTCTATAATGTGCCCACGCAGTAAACTAAACACATAACATTTCTCATTTAATTCTCACAATAGCCCTCAGAAGTGTATAAACAATAACCAGCATGTTATAGATTAACGAAACAGGCAATAAGGAACTTTCCCAAAGTTCACAAGCAGAATGTGGTAGATCAGGATTCAGTCCCAAGCCTGTTTGGACACGACTTTCACACCCTTATTTAACAGTGAACTAGAGCAGGAAGCAGAGCTGGGGGTAACTCCAACCTGCAAATGATCAGGTCCTTTCTTCTGGAGTGTATTGACTGGAGTTTTAGAAAATCAATTAATATCCCTAGACCTTATATAAAGGGAGCTGGCATTCCCTAAGAATTCTCAGGCTAAATGAAACTCGTCTAAATTACAAAAATTCCCAGTGTTTGAGGGGGAAGGGAATATACCTGAAAGCAAAAAGAGAAAAAAGAAAAGAGTAAAGCTGTTCAAATGGAGTAATACGCTTTGCTCTCTGAGTTACACATTTCTATCAAAGTCTTTACAAAAGAAGCAAGAGTCTAGGTAACAGATACCTGTGATACCATTTTCCCTGCTAAGAAACTATTAACTTTGGTAACAAAGGAATCCTCAGGAACACTGGCTAAGCAACATGGTAGCAAACTCAAGGCCATAAATGGTATTAAAAGACTGTCCTTAAGCTGTTCCTCCACAGAGAAGGGCTGTTTTCACTGTCCTACAGCAAAAAGGTGATTAGGATGGGACGGTGCTTGGATTAAAAAGACTTCCTAAGAAAATGCACTGCCTGAAGTTTAGCTCTAAGAAGTGCTAGCAGGGAGCGCAGGCTGGGTGCACTGCGGGGTGAAGTTCCAGGAGAGCAGACCGTCTCCAGTCGACACGGTCCTTCCGGGGACCCCACAGGAGAGGGTGGCGCGGCGGCCGGTGCGGCGAGATGCTGGGCCTTCGCACCTGCCGGCAGCGGCACCCCTCTCCTGAACGTACTCTGCAGGCTGGGAGGTGCAGCTTCCGTTCCTCCGGCCCGCAGCCCTCAGCTCCCTTCCCCCCGAGAAGGAACTCACTGTTCTGGGGGCTACACACAAGGCGCCCCGCACCCCCAGCAGGCCCAGCTGTCCCGGAATTAGGAGACCCCTCTCCTGTTGACCCTACCAACCCCCGATCCTCAACTCCCAAACCCGGGAGACAGAAACAGGAAGTCACCCTATCGTCCCCAGCGGGCTTTGCGGGAGCCTCTCTAGGAAACAGCGACGGCCAGCTCTCGTTGGTTTTAACCCTTAGGATCGCGGACAAGAAGGAGCGCGCTGGTGGATTTCCTTTCCGTGTGCCATCTGTCGTTTGCCGACTCTGATACTCATTCCTCACATTTGTCAGGCCGCTTATAATAGAGGGCTAATTGGAGCTTATACTTTTCCTTGCCATCAAGGCATCAACTTCTCTTGTGATGCCTGCTCTTCGAACCCAGACTCCATGCTGCGAGGAAGCCCAGATCACTAGGAGAAGCCACTTGAAGCTATTCTGGCTTGAGGGAGAAAGCCTTTAAATGACTTCAGCTCCAACCAACAACACACCGCAACCACATGAGACCCCATGTGAGAACCCCCTAGAGGACTCCAGTTACCCCACACACACACCCCGAACCATGAAAGAAAATCATAAAATAACTATGTTTACTTGAAGCTCCTAGGTTTTGGAATGAATTTGTTACGCAGCCATGGACAATCAACGGTGGCTCGCACTTGAATTCTTTTCTGCGCGAAGCCAAGGACCCACACTTGGCAGGGCACGTTGTCCCAGGGGCTCAGCGGAGACCTGGGACTCAGCCCTCCTCAAGCCCCACATCGTTTTCCTGCATGATAAGGACCTTGAGGAGATTGTCAGTGAGGGATTAAAGGAAAGTGAGGGTAAGTGGAAGAAGGAGGAAAGAGGTCCTTGTCACACAGTGGCAGAGATTTGGCAACACTGTGTTGTCTTCTGTGCCAACGTGGAAAATAAGAAGTATACCTACTGAACTCAATAATCTTGGCCAGGAGTCAACAAACACGTTCTGTAAAGGGACAGAGAGTAATTATTTCATGCTTGTGGGGCATATCATCTCTGTTACAGCTACTCAGCTCTGCCATAATTGCACAAAGGCAGCTATCTGCCAAATTAGCAAATAGGCATGTTCCAGTAATATTTTACTTACAACATATGGACAGCCTACTCATCAGTAGTATTTTGCTGATACCTTTTCCAACCTAAGAGATTTCAAGATAGTTATTAAAAGTGCCACATGGCTTCTTTTCACTGCCTATGATAAAATGCAGGAGAAGAGTGAGAAGATAGAGAACCAGCCCTTGAATATATAGGAGCTAGAAACTGCTGCATTTGAAAAAAAAATTTTTTTTTCTCATCCTACCTCTCCAGATGGCAAACATGCTAAAATTAAGAAATAGCTTCTGGGAAAAGTTCAAATATCCGGGGCTTCTAGGGAAACATGGTCTAAATAAGGGTCAGCAAATCACAAAAGGCCTTTTACAGATCTTAAGGGTTTGTCTTGAAGAGCTTCTCTGTTGAACAATCAAATACCAAAGAGTCTTAAGGGCCTTGACCCTAAGCAATCACACAGAGGCCAAGGCAGAAACGGGTTTAGCTCATGAAGATTGCTGAGTGTCACTTTTGTTTAACAGAATGAGTTATATATTGACCTAACAAAGGCCTCAAGATTTCTGAAATGTCTTGCTGGGACTGAGAGGCACAGAGACAGCACAACTTGATAAGAGGGCTTGGGAATCCCCAAATTTTACTGGCAGGAAACAGGCTATTAAAACTACTAAGCCACAAACATGGGCTACTGTTGACAGGAACCAGAATATGACACCCCAAAATGTGCCCCTTTGACATAAAAATTATTTTGAGCTGAAGGCAGTTAAGAAGCAGAGAACAGGAGGAAGGGTATAGCTTAGTGGTAGAGTGCATGCATAGCATGCATGAGGTCCTGGGTCAATCCCCAGTACTTCCTCTGAAAATAAATAAATAAATCCCTCCCCCCCATTTTTAAAAAAATAATAATATGAATAAATAAAGTAAATTTTTAAAAAATAAAATTATACCATGATCTGATGTGAAGAAAAAAATAAAGCAGCAGAGAACACAGAAAAAGCTCTCTCACTGCCCTCTTCCTTTTCTACCTAAAGGCAGAATATCAATGCTCCTTTGCTGGAGATGACTCAGCACCAGATGAATCTACAAACAAACATTACTCCATTAGGTCCCTGCCATATATTTACTTTCCCAAGGTTTGCTGCCCTTGGAAGCCTAAACCATCTTCCTTTGTCTTATCATTTCTCTACTGATTCATTGTTCTTTGTTGAAGATGCTATATAAGCCAGAGAGCTAAGCTACCTTTTTGAGTTACTCTTTGCCTGAGTCTCTCCCATGCATGTATGAGATTATGCATTAATAACTCTTCTTTGTTTTTCTTTTCTTAATCTGTTTTTTGTTGCTGTTTTTGTTGTTCTGGAGACCCCAACTGAGAACTTAGAAGGGGAGAAGAAAAATTATTTTTTCCCTCTCTTACATTAGCAAAAAGATAATATCTAAATTTTAGGACATTTCTGGCCTTAAGGAAGAATTAGGCTTAGATGAGGTCATGAGAATGGGGCCGTCATGATGGGATTAGTGCCCTTACGAGAAGAGACACCAAAGACCAATCTGCTTCTTTCTCTTTCTCTTTCTCTCTCCACGCCAGCTGAGGACACAATCAGAAGGCAGCCATCTGCAACCAGAGAAGACAGCTCTCACCAGAACCCGACCACGCTGGCCCCCAATCTCAGGCTTTCAGCCTCCAGAACCGTAACGAAATAGATTTCTATTGTTAAAGCCACTCAGTATATGATATTTGATTATGGTATTTTGTTTCTTGAGCTGACTAATACAGTTCTGATCTGATCATATGATCAGAATGGCTCACATTGAATTGACCATTGTCAGGTTCTTGCCTTTGTAGGGATATTTGCATTTTAAAAGAGAAGGGGGTCAAATGATCACTGATTGGCAGTTGGTGCAAAGCTCTGTGGTGAGAAGCAGTGTAATGTTCTAATCAGCAAATTCATGGCCTTACATACAAGATTTGTAACTCTTAACTAAGAAATTGAACTTCTCTAAGCCTCAATAACTCGGGGGCAGTGATACCCATCTTCCAGAGTTCTGCGGGTCATTTTTATTCCTTTTAGTGGTGGGCTTTCTGGTGCTTTCAGCAGATCTTTGGCTCCTTTTCTTCTCTTCATCATCCTCCCCCACCCTTCTCCCTGCGTTGTTTGGCCTTGGGATAGGTACAGAAAATGGCGACTGAAACAGTCACTGCTCCCAATACCTGTGCCCCTGACTCAGCACCTCCAAGGTGGAGCCAGGTAGACTGTGAAGGAAAAGCTGGGCTGGGCCTACTCGTAACTCTAAGTTTAACAAGTGTTGGTTTACTGATCTGAGTTCTGCTGGGCTAATGTGTAAATCTAAGTTAATAAGTGTTGATTTGCTGATTCCGTTCTCATGATTTTTTTGCTAGCCAGCTGGATTTTCAGAGATACATATCTGGCCTTGGAATGTCGGTTTGCTGCCTCCCCGCCTCTACTTTTGTGATGATGCTGCTAAAGCTGTTCCATGCCCGTTGGCCAAATACCCCAAGTTTGTAATTAACCCTATAAAACCTCATGCACACTTCTTTGAGGTGCTTAGAGCTTCGGAGCAGAAGCCCCTCTGAGCCCGCCGGCATAATAAATCTTGAGTACTCCAACCCTCCGAGTGGTGCTTGTTTCTTGGCTGGCCTGTCGTTTCCATAACAAGAGTAGAGACTTCGCTTAGGGAAAGAGTATGAGCTGGCACAGAGCACCAAAGATATCAGAAACCCAAAAACCATAGATCCCCAATACAGAGGATTGCTTTATTGAAATAGATACCAAGGAAATTGCAACGTCTTTTCTGAAGGTGGGTGGGAGGGCTGAGTATATGGGCTGTGGGGGGAAAGAAATGTCTGTATGGATTTGATTCTGGTGTTACAGCAAGTCAAAGCGCTCAACAGAGCAGAGCCTAGATTGTGCCTCTGCTATTAGCTCCGATGGCTCTTTCCCTAGTCACATTAGTTGCTCAAGATTCTAAACCGTGACAGCAGGTGGCACCAGAGGCAGCTGTTTGGTGAAACTGCCACAAAATAGAAATTACGCTGCAGAGTAATCCATCCGTGTATAATCGCAAAGAGTCTTGATGCAAACATAAAAGTAATACTTGTATCAATTAGATTTAACAAAAATAAACCTGAGTGTAATCAAGGATTATGGAATTAATTACTGGAGAGAGAGGAGGAGAGACTATTGTTCTGGGTGCAGAACAGCCAGTCTTCAGAATATTAAGGGTCATGTCTCCTCTTTGGCCAAAGGTTTTCTCTAAGGTGAGTTGTGTCCAATGTTATCTTGGCACCCACCCTACTGCAAGCCCATTTCCCCTAGAAGACAAAAGATCAAGATTAAGCAGGCCACATTCCTGGCGATGGAAGAGAATTCCAGTTGGTAGGGCCAGATCTATTTCTTGGAGCCACAAAGCTGTATAAAGCAGAAATTTGCAAAATTGGTCTCAAATTATGCAGGAACCCAGAAGAGGAGGACACCATTTGGAAATGTGAGGTGTGAGTACACATTGTAAAGCCTGGTCTATGGCTGTGAGCCCTGAGTTCATTTCTAAATACACCAAATGCTGGAAAGCAGAGTGGTTACCAGTCAGGACTGGGAAAGCAGCAAAATTTCTTCAGGACATCGTTCCACTTGCTCTTTCCAACACCAGCGCCCTACCTCCAACTCTGCACCTGCCCTCCAATTTCAGACTGACCTACTATTAGTGAGCTCCTACCGGGTGTTACCTCACTCGGCCTCTGTATTTTACCTTTTGTCCCTTCCCCCATCCCTGTAGGGGCTGAGATACTCAAGGATCAGGTTGAAGAGCATCTGGGGATCACAGACCCCGAGTTGGCTGGAGGAAAGAAGGTGAAGAGGAGGTATATTCAATCAGTGCCTTCCATGGCCCAGGCTCTCTCACCTCAGCCTCACAGCCATCCTGTATGATGTAGGAATTAGTATTCCAGTTTTTTGCATGTTGAGGAAACTGACACAAAGAGCTTCAGAAACGTACAAAGCCTCTAGAAGGTAGAGGGAGTGAAGAC